ATTTGTGAATTTTACTGAAATTATCAAAATTGCCCAAGGACACAACGACCAGGACAGAGAGCCCGGGGATCAAACCGGCGACCTTCCGGTTACAGATACGCTTCCCAACCCCCTGAGCCATGGTCGCCCTAGCTATCCAGGCTTCACCTGTTGTCTTTGCAGCTACTGCTTTCAAGGGGAAGCGACGGTGATGCTACAGATGATCAGAGCCTCAAGCTGAGTCACAGACATCCCTTGAGTGGTGAGTCACGGGGATTTCTTGCCACCAGCTTTCTCAATATCCGAGGGTGTTGATATAGAAACATTAGCCACGAACACTGTAAATTCTGAGTTAGCATCATGCGCGGATGTTGCTTGCAGGTCAAATAGTGAAGAGACTATGTTTCCAGTTTTCTTGCCTGAAGATTCACAGATTAAAAATGAAGTATTGTAGGTTTTGGGAGCATCCAGTTTGAGGGGGGAGATTTGTGATCACTTACTGGTAATGTTTGACATGTTGTGTTACGCAGACTGGTTATGGTTATGATGTACTTTGTGCTTCCAAGTCTGTGAACTCTGGTGTCCAGTGCCGATTTAAATGCTTCACTAGAATGTGAAATGCCTGAACCTGTAATGAGTTTTTAAAACTATTCCTTCCATAACCACTAGCTCACTGTCTGGGAACTCTGTTACTATAGACAATGTAGAGACTGGATTTTCAGCTCTAACTCCAGCTAGAACTGTTTGTTGTAAGACAGGTTTCTGTGAGACCAAACTAGGCTCCTGTGGGTCTGAAATATGGGCCGGGTCGGATCCAGAGGCTGAGTCGAAGGAATCAGTGTGCTCTGGGTCCCCAGAAGTACTTGTTTCTACTCCCACTTGGGGGCTCAGCAGAGGTTGCCCAGGTCCGCTGTGCCAGCTGGAGGGTCAGACGGGGCTAGCAGGCAACTTCATGCTTGAGCTGGGGGTACATGAGAGCCCAGCCTCCAACTTCATGCTCCAGCTGGGGGTTCAGGAGACCCTAGCCAGCAGCCTCTTGTGCCAGCTGTATGCTCAGCTGAGCATATATGGTCCAGCCACGATTCAGCCACAGGTCGACGCCTCATCTAGTCTCATCTCAAAGTAGCCACAGATCGATAACTTGCCTGGTCTCACCTGTCAATGCCCTGCGCGGCCTGCCAGTCCACAGCCACCTTCCAAGCCCCAACCAGCACATCGGGCGCCTGCCAAGCCAGCCCGTCCATGGAAATCAACCAAGCCGCCCAAGGGCCCTCACTCATGTTCACCCTAAGCCATAGCCTAAGCTGGGGGTATGGAACTCCAGGCCTCAAGTGCTGGTGTCCTGCAGGTTTTAGATGTGTCCTTGATCCAACACAGCTGAGTCAAATGGCTAAATTACCTCCTCAACATGTCTTGAAATCCTCCAGAGGCCTGGTAATTAACTAATCATTTGATTCAGGTGTGTTGACCCAGAGTGTGAACTGTAACCTCAAAAATGCCTTCAAACCCAAACAGGCATTCTGTCCCCATAAGTGACTGTTGGTCCTCACAAATATAGTAGCATGCCGATTTTCTGTCATCACAAAGATATCTAAACATGTACACGCACGCACACATACCTCTGAAGTCTTTGGGGATTGACTTGCAGGTCTCCACATTATTCTTTAGGTAGCGCAGTTTCTCCTTCACAGTCTTCATGTTAAGCGTGTCTATTGTTTGCATCTTGTTTACATGTTTATGTAGTCTATCAGCCTATCAGAAATGGATATAATATTATTCTATTGATAATTCTGTTACATCACAACAGGTCACATGTGACCTGACATAGTATAACATTAAATCTTTTCTTTCTGTTGTATTTTGCTGCCATTTGCTATTTTAGCTCTACCTCTTTGGAGAGTTTCTGTGTCTCGGAGTTGTTAAGCTGGCTGTGGACCACATCGATGTCCACCTGTAACTGGCTGAGCTCCTGGCCCAGCTGGCGCAGGGACAGTTCTGTATACAGGCCCTGGGAGTGCAGGTAGTTGTAGGGCTCCAGCCGAGCAGAAAAGTTGGAAAACTGATCCTGGATCAGAGGGAGACGTTGGCTGGAGAACGTCAGCTGCAAGAAATGCAGACAAAAAAATCCTTTGATTAAAGATATGGCTTTTTTTCCTATACGAGCTATGTAAAAAAGTAAACCCAAATTTTAAAAAAGTTAATGTTTCGAGGGGAAAGAAAAAGTGGTTACCCTATATTATAAAATACTGTACATATTTTCTATTATAGATAGATATCCATCTGTTGAAAGATAAGAGATCATGGACCTCAGCTGTGTAGTCTCATATTATTAAGAATAACAACAATAATTTTAAACATTTGAATCCCCAACTGATAAGATAAATGTAAGAAAGGCCAGTGAAGCCTAGCTTTTTATTTTATTTATAATTATTTTTTTATTATTTTATTTTTTATTTTTTATTTATAAGTCTTTTGCAAGCAGCATATAAAATAATATATGAATGTTATGGGAAAAAAAGAAAGTAACTTTGATACACTGTTTATCTTTAAATAATGAAATATCAATTGATTGATTATACCCATACTTTCTATTCATTATGATAATAATTAATGAATTATTAAATAATGTTTTCTTGATTATTGATTCATTTTTACTTGTATTTTAGTTTTTTTATACTACAACGTTAGTTCCTGAGAGCTTACTTCAGTACAATAAAGCATATAGATGAGTTCTTACCTCTTCTTGTAGGTTATTCAGAGATCCTTCACAGGTGTGAACTTCCTCCAACACGTACTTAAACTTCTGAGCAGGGAACAGCCACATGGTGGAGTTCAGCTGGCACACACATGCATTTG